CTTGTTTCTGGGAAAGGGGGTGGGTTTTGGGGGGGGGGGGTCCCCAGGTCCCTCTTGGAGACTGGCATCTCCACTGTGGCTAGAGAAGCTGCCTGAGCTCTACAGACGTTTGGATGGACAAGAAGACAAGGTCATGAAATCCCATGGGCCTGGGGGCATGTCAGTCTCTGTCTAGCTTTGGTTGCTGGGAGTATATTGTACACCTTCCAGTTTGATGTAGCCAGTTTGGTGTAGTGGTTAAGTGGGAGAACCGGGTTTGATTCCCCACTCCTCCACTTGCACCTGCTGGATGACCTGGGGCAAGCCATAGTTCTGGCACAGCTGTTCTTGAAAAAGAGCAGTTTCTGTCAGAGCTCTCTCAGCCCCACCTACCTCACAAGGTGTCTGTTGTGGGTAGGGGAAGGGAGGGGACTTTGTAAGCCACTCCGAGACTCCTTTGAGTAGTGAAGAGCGGACTTCATCATCTCTTCTTCCTGGAGGAGGAGGGAAAGACGGAGTAAGATGCTGTGGCCCACCTTTTTGTTACAACCCGCGGTTTAACAACCACTGACAAACCAGCAAGTGCTGCTCCTGAAATCAGGGGAGGGGCTGTGATTCAGTGGTAGAGCATTTGCTTGGTATGCAGAAGGCCCCAGGTTCAATCCCTGGCCTCCAGTTAAAAGGAGCAGAGAGTAGCTGGTTTGAAAGACCTCTGCCTGCAGCCTCTGCTGAGAGAACTGAGTAGACAATATTGACCTTGAAGGACCAATGGTCTGATTCAGTATAAGGCAGCTTCATGTGTATGTTTATGTAGCAATAACTGGAAATTGCCCTCAGTTTACCCTTCTGCTAGTACAGGGCACACGGCAGATGGAGTGTTTTGTTTATGCAAGAAAGAGGCAGGGCAATTTTACATGATTCCCCATTCCTTTAAACCCCCATGCCACATGGCCTTTTGTCCTCAAAGCTCCCCTGACTTCAGCATCAACTGGTTGGGGGGTTAGAGGGGGGTGGAGGGATAAGCATGAAGGATCCATGAGGACCTTAGTCTCATGATTTGTAGAATCCAAGCAAAACTCTCTAAAATTTGAAATGAAATTGAGAGGTGGATCATTGTATTAAATGTCTCCTTGAGGTTGCATAGAAATTTAATCTGGCTTTTATAAATTGCTTAAATCATTCTACTACAGAGCAAAATACACACGCATTATCTCATAATGTTGTCATGGTGAAGTACTGAACCCTCCATCTTTACAGTGATATGTTACTGTGAAAACGGCTGGTACCTAACTGTGCAGTCCTAAGTGCAGTTACACCCTTTTAAGTTCACTGAAGTCAATAGTTTTAGAAGGGTGTAACTGCTCCAGATTGCACTGTAAGGTGCTGGGATGCATCAGCTGATTCTTGAATTCCTTGTAACTCTTTGATGGCATCACTCACGCCCACGTACCTTTTGTATATTCAACCATTAATCTTTTTATTACTCTGACTGTATAATTATTTGCCTACTTCTTAATTTTCTGCGGCAGGTGATCCCACAATTTCATTCAGGTGCCATGTTTTTTATGTGACAAAAATGGGAACCAGCAGCAGCTAATGGTCCCCTTCAATTTTTTCACGTTTTCGTAGGAACAGGAAAGAATTTGGATTAAATGCACACATCTTTGCAGTCTGTTGTCATCCAAATGAAAGAAATCCGTTCCTTTCACTGTGTGTCACAGAAATCACATAATTATGATTTCAGAGGGTAGCCAAGTTGGTCTACAGTAGAACAGCTAGATTCAAGTGTAGTAGCATTCTTACAGACCAGCAGGATTTTTTTTTGGGGGGGGGGTTATAAATTTTCGAAAGTCATAATCTGACAAAGGAGTTGGAATGGAGATCTCCGAGTCCTCATATCCCAGTCAGAAGGTGGGCAGGGGGTGTTGCAAAGAAGGAACTCGGGATGCAGAGGTACCACATGCATTGTAATTAGCTTGATTAGAGCAGAGGGGAAAAGGCTGGGGGCAGAAAATTACCGTCTGTAATGGCAGGGGTCATTTCGTAGAAAAAGAGCTAGGGGGACTCATTAGCATAACTCATTAGCATATGCCACACACCCTGACATCACCGGAAGTGTGTCCTCCCCACAGCCCGGCGGCGACCTCCAGCGGGCACCAGCAGGGAGCTCCAGGCCCCGCCCTCCCGCACCTCACCCAGGGGGATGGCGTCCCCCCGCGTCCCCCCCCCAAATGACCCCTGTGTAATGGCATATGTAATGTTGGAAGAAGAACAAGTAAATGAACCTGAGATGGTATGGCTGGTGTTGTTAGGTCCAGTTATCGTGTTGTCAGAGTGGATATGGAAACAGAGTTGGCATCAATGCTCCCTCTAAGCTGTGGGGTCTTATGAGCAAAAATTCTACTTTGTGAGCTACTGGCATTAAAGTTGTGAGCGAGCGATTTGGCTGCTGCATAAATTAGTTTGCTCTGGAGCCATCCTTCCTGAGCTAAGACAAACAATGTGTGAGCCAGAGGCTAAAAGGCTGTGAGCTAGCTCACACTAACTCAGCTTAGAGGGAACACTGGTTGGCATCTGGGTTTGTTGAGGCCCTGGTCCCAGAGTCCATATCCATGTTTGGAGGGTATTGCTGTAGGTGAATTGTTGTTTAAGATTAGGAGGCTTTCTGTGGGCGAGAAAACGTTTACCTCTCAATGCCTGTGAGAGGGGGGTATCATTGCCCAAGCATAGGTTGCAGGTCGTTAATTATGAATTCAAGTGGTCTGAGCTGAGAGCTGTATGTGACCATCAGTAGTGTTCTGTTGTTGTTTCGTTTGGGCCTGTCTTTTAGCAGGTTATCCCTCGGTATCATTCTGGCTTTGTTAATCGGTTTTGTGACAGCATCATGAGTGTATTGTAATTCTAAGGTGCTACTGGACTCAAATTTAGCCATTTCACATAATATAGTAACCCTACAGAGAAATCTCTCCTGCCAACCTAGCAGTTCGAAAGCAAGAAATTGCAAGTAGATAAATAGGTACTACTTCGATGGAAAGGTAACAGTGTTCCGTGCGCCTTGGTGTTTAGTCATGCCGGCCACATGACCACGGAAATGTCTTCGGAAAGCGCTGGCTCTTCGGCTTCGAAACGGAGATGAGCACCACAACCCTAGTGGTCGGATTCGACTGGCTTTCGAGCAAGGGAACCTTTACCTTTTTATAGAGAAATCTAAAACAGGAGTAGGACACCCCTGGCATGCCCGCCAGCAGTGGCTCACCAGACCATTTGGGTTGGCACTCAGGGCCAGATCTCAGCCCAGGCATCCAAGGCTCTGGTAGCATTGCTAAAGTCGGCCATGCAGGAGAAGAGGACAGGCCTGGCTTATGCCCGTCATCCCCTCCCAGACCTCAGAGCTGCCAGGTGAGTCCAAGGCAAATCCCTGAGATGCTGGCAGTGCCCCTGGGGTTTGGCTCTCTCCAGGTGTGTCTGGCCAAGTGCAGCTCTTGTAACACCACATCCCCATGTTTTTGGCAGGCACAGCAACTCCTTCACAGGTAGAAGATGCCTTTTTGGCACTTGAATCAAAAAAGATTGCCTACCCCTTGTCTAAATGAATGTGTGAGACCAAAAAAAGAAAGAAAAAAGCATTATCTGGGGGGGGGGGGTGTTGCTTTGGCTTTAAAAATAACCCTCTTTTAAACTCCCATCACATTAAGGAGTGTCTCCCAGGTTTTGTCTAAAAACTTACTCCACCAGCTCTATATTAAGTATTGTCAATTATGTTTTGCTTTCAGATTTCTGGAATGTGCTACAGCAGCCGTGTGTTAAAAGTGTACCGTGTACTTTGTGTGCCCAGCGGAATGGCAAGAATATTTGCTTGGACTCTTGAGCCACTTTTCTCATCTGCGGAGCCATCCAATGAAATCAGAGTTGGAATGGGAGCCACTGTGGACATACAGAGGCAACAGAGAATGGAGCTTCTGGATCGGCAGATCTTGATGTCTCAGTTTGCCCAGATAAGGAGGCAAAGACAGCAGCAGGTAAAAGCAAAACTTTTCCAGTGGGCTATAATTTATTCCTTATTGAGTTGGGCTTGAACTGGAACCATTATAAAAATATAATTTTGTCTTTGGCTGCACGTGGATGTTGCTATCAGACTCCGTGCAGGCCCAAGCCTCCACCCAGTGATAGTTAAGATGAAGCTGTTTGCTTCCGTGTTCTTCGGGATCTAAATTGGAGAAGAGAATCAGGCTCATAGGAGAGGAGGAGGAGGAGGAGGAGATTGGGTTTATACCCCGCCCTTCACTACCCAAAGGTGTCTCAGAGCAGTTTACAAACTCCTTTCCCTTCCCCTCCCCACAACAGACACTCTGTGAGGTGGGTGGGGCTGAGAGAGCTCTTGACAGAAACTGCTCTTTTTCCAAGAACAGCTCTTATCAGAAGTACAGCTTGCCCAAGGTCATCCAGCCAGGTGCAAGTGGAGGAGTGGGGAATCAAACCCGGTTCTCCCAGATTAGAGTCCGCGCACTTAAGCACTACACCAAACTGACTCTCATAGAATGCATGCTCAGAGGTCATTTCGGGGGGGAACGCGGGGGATCGCAGTTCCCCCGGGTGAGGTGCAGGGGGCGGGGCACATGACGAAGCCCCGCCCCCTGCTTCCGGGCGCCCCGCTTCCAGCCCTCATTCAGCCAGGAGGAGGCAGGAGAAGAGGGAGGGTAAGTTGCTTCCTCCCCGCCTCTCCCCACCCCTGCCTGCCTGGGGCCAGGGGGGGCCTTGGCGGGGCTTCCTCACACTCCCACTGGCCTTGCAGGTCCACCGCCCGGGCCCCTGATGTCAGGGGGTGTGGCATATGCTAATGAGTTATGCTAATGAGTTCCCCTAGCTCTTTTTCTACGAAACGACCCCTGTGCATGCTCCATCCTTCATTCAGCCCTCACCCCCTTCCCAAGAGGCTGTCCTTTTTATAGGTTAAAGCCGGGGGGGGGGTCACCAACCTTCTCTTTAATGACAACTACTTCTGAGTAATGAAAAATATCCTCCCCCCTCCCCCAGCACTTCACCAAGCTTTGTTCTGTCCTTGAAATAGATCATAGACTAGGAAGAACACCAGAAACGAAGCTGTCCGCTAAGCAGTACAGAGAGAAATCCTATCGAATAAACACTTTTTTTAAAAAGCCTAAAGCAGCTCTTTTATCTTCTCATGGGCTTGATAAGAGATGCTCAAGCTACTGTGCAACAGGCAGCAAGCGGTGGGTTGGAGACGCTTGCTTTGAAGGAGCAAGAGGGCACAGCTGGCCTCTAAGTATGATCCTTTGCACAAAAGTTCATTTGAGGCACTTTGATCATGTGGGGCACTGCCCCGAAGAAGCCCCCCTGGCAGTGCAGGTCTTTTTCGTTGTTGCTCCTGTTTCCTTACCTTCTTGCATTGGATCTGGCTGTCTGGCCAGCTAGAGGGCTCCTGTGTGCCTGTTTGCCTAACTGACCCCCCTTTCTGGTCTCACCTCTTTTTTTCTGCTGAAGCTATAGCTAACAGCTTCACAAACAGCTATATTTCACAAATGGTATATCCGTCCCTCTGATTTGAAGCCTTCAGGGTTATGGTGACGAAAATTCCTCTCCCACCCTTTATAGCTGTTGATGGCACCATCATCATTATCAATACATCTAATCATCAAGATGGCCCCCTCTGTGGATACTTAAATCTGGAGACTGGGGCCATGGACAGACAAGACATATCTTTCTACAAACCTAAGACAAGCCCTAGGTTTGCAGAGAAATCTGAAATCTTTTTTTAAAAATACACTGGAGGGTTAAAGCTGTTGCTGTCAGTGGCTGTTGCTAGTCAACCACAACATTATTGACAACCTTGGAACCTTGGTTTCTGTTAGGGAGGGGGAGGGGGGAGGCCCGCCGGCAACCACTGGGTGACTTGGTATCTCATGACTTGCATGACTCACCCAGGACTGGCTGCTTGCTACTGTTCAACAGCAGCCACCACTCAAAAACCAGTGTGGTGTAGTGGTTAGCATTTCAGACTAGGATCTGGGAGCTCCAAGTCTGAATCCCCACTCTGCTGGGGAAGCCAACTGGGTGACTTTTGGCCAGTGACACACGCTCACAGGGTTGTTCTGGGGAGAAAACAGAGGAGAATGATGTAAACTGCTTTGGGTCCCCATTGGGGAGAAAGGTGGAGAATAAATGAAGTAAAATAATAAATATAGCTGAAGATGGGGGGGGGCAGATAAAAAGTAAGCAGGTTGCTAGGTAGGAAGAAGAGAAGGAAACTGGGAAAGCTGGGATATGGGAGTTGCTAGGAGAAGAGAAATAGTGTGGACACGGACAGACAGGGGTTTTTTTTCCACCTACAAGACTGGGGAATGCACAGGTGTGCAAAAATATGAAATGTAAAACAAAACAACAAACATTGGGGGTTTTAAAAAAACACCCCAAGAACCATAGAAGCAGTGTCTACTTCTTTTTTAAAAAGTATACCATTGAGATCTCATGAGACTACAGTTGTGAGATCTTGACTGCCATTTGTGGGGGTTGCGAGGCAACCTGCAACCAACATTGTGGAGGATTTCTGCGCCTTACTTAGTGTTAGAATTATGCGTTAATCGGTGTAAGCCGCCCTGAGTCTGCTTTTGTGGGGAGGGTGGGGTACAAATTAATTGATTAGATAAATAATAAATAGAATGGACAAGGAGGGAGAGAGGTAAACTTAAGAAAGGTAAGATATGAGAGGGGGGAAAGAAAGGGAAAGCTGGAGGGGGAGGGGGGGAATGGACAAAAATGGGTGAGGTCAGGAGGGAGGGGCAGAAACAGCCAGGCAGGGAAACAGAAAAAAGCAGATAAGTGTGAAAGAAGGAAAGGAGAGATTCTGAAAGCATTGCCAGGGGGGAAGCAAAGAGGAAAAGCAAAAGTGAGAGAGGGTGTGCGGAAATGAGATCCCCTCTCCAGCAGGAGTCCTCTCTGATTCCCCACTTGTCAGTTGCAGAGCCAGTTTGTTTACAGTCTCCCTTGACTGTGTTGGGGAAAGTGGGGTGGGGGTGAGGGTGGGGAGAAAAATGTTGACCTGCCTTGTTCGCTTTCAGGGGCAATTAAAATTAGTTTGGTTATTTCCTGAATGGGCTATGGCCTTGAAATGGGTAACACACCCTTATTATAAAAAAAATCTGAAAATGTTACATCTCGCCTTCAAACTGGGAGCCTTAAAGTGTACCCCAATTGTTTAACTTATTTTATAGACACACAGCCCAAAATAAAGGTTATTGCAGTGTTAGGCACAGACTTGCACAGTTTTAGTGGTGAGCCCATTGTGGAAGCACATTCACCATTTGTTGGATATGTGTAACATCTTCCCCTTACTGAGGGACAAACTACATGTTAACACTTTCCACAAGCTGCCAATGAGTTCTGGCAACCATATTGCAGGTGCAAGTCCCCAGAGGCAACTCTCCGGTAAAGGTGCAGCAGATGCCCAATTTGGATCCAGCTGGTGATATGGGCAAGGAAGTTCCTGCCTCTTCTGCCAGTGTCATTTTCAGGAGCTGATAAAGCTCATTGGGGGGGGGGGGAGCAGCACAGCAGGCATTATTTCCCTGATCAGGTGGTTGTATAAGTACTGAAGAGAACGTGAACATTCATATTGTTCACTGAGAAAATGTGGATCTGTGTTACATGCACCAAAAAAACACAATAAACACTAGACCTCCACTGCATCCCCTTGCATCTTACTGTGCGCTGTTAGTATTCATCTTGTCCTTCCTTTTCTTTTCAGAGCTCCTCTGATCAGTGAATCTTGAGCAATGACTAAAAGAGTAGTCAATTAGTTTCTAAAGGAAAAAGGATAGACATGTCCCTCGATGTGTTTCAGATGTGTCTCTCAGAGCTGAATTAGGCTAAAAGTCATTGGAAGCTAGAGCATGGCTTAGTGCTTTTAAGCTTAGAATAAAGACTATCTTTGTCGTAGACGTGGATAGATTTCTGTTTTCTCTCAAACAAGATGCTTATTACTCAGTATGGATGAAGACTGTTGACACTAGATTACAGCAGCTGAGCATTACATTAGAAGAAATTCTCTAGCTGGGTAAGGCAGAGACCCTCAATATTGTCATCTCATCAAGCTCGATTATAATAGCACAGTAATTTGTGCTCGTAGAGTTTGTTCAACCCAGTTCTTTGGTATTTTACCACCATGGCCCTTGCCGTCACATACAAGATATTTACCGTAACAGTGCCTCATTATGCTAGGGCATTATGCTAGGGCATTTGCTCTGAGCTTGTATTAATGCTAACCATTCTGAAGTATTGCATGGGAGGTTTGGTAATATTCCATATTCAGATCATCTTGTCCTTGTGACCTGGGTAAAATCAGTTCTTTATTTCATAAAATTCTGGAATGTTCCTTCTATACTGTTTTTAGGAATCAGTGCATTTCACCTGTTTTACCATATTAAGCGTTCAGTAATTCTGTATGGCTGCGAGAGTTGGACTATAAGGAAGACCGAGCGCCGAAGAATAGATTCTTTTGAACTATGGTGCTGGAGAAGACTCTTGAGAGTCCCTTGGACTGCAAGAAGATCAAATCAGTCAATCCTAAAAGAAATCAACCCTGTTCCCTGGAAGGCCAGATAATGAAACTGAAGCTCCAATACTTTGGCCACCAAATGAGAAGGGAGCACTCACTGGAGAAGACCCTGATGCTGGGAAAGATTGAAGGTCAAAGAAGATGGGGACGGCAAAGGATGAGATGGTTAGACAGTGTCATAGATGCAACAAACATGAAATTGAGCAAACTTCAGAGGACGGCGGAAGACAGGAAGGCCTGTTGTGATCTGGTCCATGGGGTCACGAAGAGTCGGACTCGACTGTGCGACTGAACAACAACAACAACAATTCTCAAATGGATGTTATTCCCTATCTGATCCTAGACAGTGATCCAACTATAACCTTGTTGGTTGCTAAATTCCAGTCTATCATATTTTTCTTTAGAAACTAATTGAGTACTTTTTAGTCATTGCTTAAGATTTGTTGA